GCTCTTTCTAGTAGCATTGCTGCTGTCCCCGCACCTTGAGGATAGCAGTGATCCCAAGAGGCAGCTCAGTATTTCATTAAGAGCAAGTCGGGACGTGCAATAAATGTTAGCCTAACCAGTAGTGTTCACATCCCATGATTGATAAAAAAAAATAGAATAGGCAAAATTTCAGCAAGTGAAAGAAATGTGAAGTTATCCACATTGAAAAGAAAAATAAAGGGGCATTTTTTAAAAAAAAGGTGACATTTAGATGCAAATGTTGGCACATAGTGCTCTTGTACAAGAATCACCAAACTGATATGCAGATATAGGAGACAACTGGGAAAGCAAATGCCATGTTATCGTTGTTACAATGGGTTGAGAGGATTGAGTAAACACGTGTTTTGCTGTAATCGTACAGCACCCTGAGAAGATGACACCTGGAGTACCGGTGTAGTTTTGATCCCCATAACCAAGGAAGGATATGTTTGCTTTGAGATATACAACAAAGGTTAATTGGACCATTTTCTGAGGTGAAAATGAGAGAAATAGGAGGGTTGGCCTTTAATCCAAGGAGTTTTAGAACAGTGAGTGTGATATCACTGAAAAACAGAAAAAAAGCTTATGGAGCTTCATGGTGTAGGTGTTTGATGTCGGAACATTAGAATATGGGACCAGGATTAGTCCACTCAACCCCTCCAGCTTGTTCCACCATTCAATGAGATCATAGCTCATCTGTGGCTTAACTCCATATACCTGCCTTTGGCCCATATCCTTTAATACCTTTGCTAAAAATCAAGAGCACTCCAGCACAGGAACAGGCCCTGCAGCCCAGGACTGCTCTGACACGATGCCTTTCTAAACTAAAATCCTTTTTCCTACTAATTTCCTCTCTTCCCTGCCTATTCATATCTGTCAAGATGCATCTTAAACGTTGCTATTGTATCTGCCTCCACCACCTCCTCTGGCAGAACATTCCAGGCACTTACCACCCTTTGTATTTAAAAAAACCTTTCCCCCATTTACCTAAAACCTATATCCCCTAATAATTGACATTTCTCCCCTGAAAGAAAGATTCTGACTATCCATGCATTTCATAATTTTGTAAACTTCTATTGGGGTGTCCCTTAGCCTCTGACATTCAAGTTTGTCCAATCTCCCCTCATTGCTAATACCCTTCAAACCAGACAACATCCTGGTAAACTGTTTCTGTAACTTCTCCAAAGCCGCCACATCCTGCTGGTAGTGTGGCAATCAGAACTGCACACAATATTCCAAATGTGGCCTAACTAAATTTCTATACAGCTGCAACATGACTTGGCAATTTTTTAATTCTGTGCCCTGATTGAAGAAGGCAAGCATGTTATACGCGTTCTTGACCTCCTTATCCACTTGTGTTACCACTTTCAGGGAACTGTGGACCTGTATGCCTAGATCCCTTTGTATGTTACTGCTTCTAAGGGTTCTGCCACTTACTGTATACGTCCCTCTTGCATTGGATCCACCAAAATGTATCACATCACATTTGGCAGAATTAAATTCCATCTGCCATTTCTCCACCCAAGTCTCCAGCTTATCTATATCCAAACTGATCCAACTCAATACATGATACCTATTCTGAGCTTGCAGAGCAGGAGTGGAGGAACACAGCTTTATCTGATGCCTGGCCAGTGGCAGGTTGGCTAAACATAAAAGCTCTATTTGACTGCCTTTGAAGTAGGCTATGGTTTGGGCTCAGTAGCTATATTGTTACCAGCCTGCATTTCATCTTGGAAAGTGAGCTGTAACAGGAAACATCAGCAGGAGAGCTGATATTATCTTGCAGTTTGATAGGATTTTTTTGAAGGTTCCTATTTAAAGCACCATCAGCATGGAAACAGAAGAACAGAATGCAATTCCTTAAGAGTTTAACAACATATTTGCAGGTTTCTATTGGTGTCTGAGGTTATAAAACCAGTTGTTCTACATTTAAATAGTCAAATTATTTCCCAACTGCAAGTAGTTCATCACATCAGAAAGCAAGACAAATGTGATAAATTACTCTTTAAAGTTCACCTCCCTTGCCAATGTGTATTTAGCAGTGACAGTAATGCTATTAATGCCTGCAGTAAGGTGGAGGTAGGGCAAAAATAAATTCCATCAGGTTTCACCCAACGATAGTAGGAACTGCAGATGCTGGAGAATCCGAGACAACAAGGTGCAGGGCTGGATGAACACAGCAGGCCAAGCTGGATGA